AAAAATTCAGGTTCAAAGATAAATAGATTTACAGAAATTGACTTTATATAGTTAAGTTGATAAGTAGCACCAAACCTAGCTGTATCTGAGTGGAAATAAGAGACTTCCAATTTCCTTTCTGTTTTTGTTCAAAAATGGCAATAAAGTTTCTGAGTTGCTTTTTATGATCCCATTAAGATAAAAAAAACAGTGTCTGGACTGTGCTATGGCAACCTGCTGATAGAAGCTGCTATCTCATGTATAAAAAATGGTATTTATTGCTTCAGGGAAGAAACGGAAAATGGATGCTATCCCCACCAGCCACTTTTTCAAATAAGCACATTTTGGGGGAGCCATTTGATGAGAGCACCCATCTAATCCTATGCAAATTTTAGATATAGTCACCAGGTCATCCTGGCATCATGTAAGTCCACCTGCACTCTAATATGGAGGAGGCCAGACTCCAGCTGAATCTTTCATGAGTATTACGACCCTGTCATGTATTTGGTCTAAAAACAAAGGCGTGGTAGTTCAGAAGAAAAAATCAGTGAATGTTACAAACTCCAGTGACCTCAGAATGATAAGGTGAATAGCTACTGAAAAACAGAGGCACAGTCTGGCTTCAGGATATCACATTCTTTATCAGTTAAGTAAAAGAAATAAGAATAAAAACAAATCACCCCCTATTAATCTGGGGAAAAAATGAAAGATGTTAAAAATGTACCTCTTTCCATTCTGGTGATTCTGCACTGAAGTTCTCTGAGGTCGCTTTCTAACTGGGGATCCTGGCTTGCAGGCGTACCTGTGAATGAAGAATAATGGAAGTTCATTGTCCAACAGCTCAGCTGCAGTTATTATTCTGTTACTTGATTATTTGATCCTGTGAAATTAGTTGAGACGGTGATTTTCTTTAATGATACATTTGAACAAGAATCATTAATAGTCTGCTATTGGAATGATTCATTGATTGATTTGTAGGCCTAGAGTATTCCTTTAGCCTTTCACCTGAATTGGATGGATTTTTGGTATATCAAATGCCTTTTGGTGTCTTTCCTATTTTGAAAATGATCAGAAATTGTTCAGAAAGAGATCTAGAAGAAAATCATAGTTCTGCCTATTGCATAATTCCAAGTTAGTAAACCACGGCTGCCATCCTGATTTTTTTAACCCCTCCTGTGGATGCCTCTGTCTGATGCTCTTCCAATGGATGAGACCAGAGAAGAGTCCCTGAAATGTGACATTTCCTTCCTTCCTGCAACACTGTGCTGCCTTCTTAATAGAAGAGGGGAGGGGGGAACCTTTTTCCTATCAAGAAGTAGAGATCCACAGGGAGAAAGAAATCATTTGCAGACCAGCTTTCCCCCTTTCTCTGAACTTGCTAGCTTTTCCCCATGAAATGTCAGCCTGCTCCCTCTCTTTGTTGGCCATTGCTCTCATCAGATCACCTGTTTGGGGTCTCAATTCCTAAAAGCTATTGTAGCTGCTTCAGGCAATGTGGAGAGTTTCTTCTCTCTGGCCAACCTTTCTTTTGGGAAAGATTGGGCCAGTGAGTCCATTCCCTCAAGTAATCAAGAAATCCAACATGATCTTCTCACACTGGAAGATGGGAGACTTATGGGACTGAAGCATTTGTTAAATGGGGGATTTACCAAGTAATAAGAGGAATGTAACTTCAATTCACCCAAACCTTTGTCAAGTATGCTAAGCCACTGAAGAAAAAGCTAACCAGGAGGACACTATTTGCTAACTACAAGGAGAGGGAGGATGGAATTGGGCTGAACTTCATAATTCCTTCCCTACCCTGAGGAAAATGTATGTTCTAGAAGGTTCCCTCAAAACTCTGATGCACGGAGAGGCTGAATTATGAAAAGTCTGCAATTCAAACACAGCTACTTAGAAACAAGCGGTGGGTTTCAGCTGCCAATGTGTTAACAAGGGACTTTCCAATTGCTGGTGGAGGGGAAGGAGGTCAAGAAAAGTCTTCACTTGGTGGTTCACCAAAGCAAAGGCAGCCTGATTTTCACTCTTTCTCATTCCTGCCTGGAACCAAGTTAGAGAGTGACAAGAGTCATTAACACAAGGGGAGCAATGCACAAACTCAAACTCTTTTGAGTCTTCCTCAAGCATTCTCCTACCTGACCCCATTTACACAGGATTGGCTGCTTTAATTCCTACAGCCCTGCAGAGATGACCAGGTTGCAGTGAATGGATCCTTCCTCAGCAGTTCTCCCCATGTTGTCTTCCCACCCTCCATGAACCGAATGTTATATTTATCAAGTTACTTTTTGCAACAAGTGGCTCTGGTCATCCACAAAAGTATTAATAAGGAGCTCTTGCAAGGCCCCTCCAGCAAGCCCCTTCATATTGGTATGCCAGGGTTTGCAACAGGTATGTGTGTATATATGTGTGGGTGTACTTTCAAGTCATTGTTGACTCCTGGGGACTGCCTAGACAAGTTTTCTTGGAAGACTTTTTCAGAAGTGGTTTGCCATTGCCTCCTTCCTAGGGCTGAGAGAGAGTGGCCGGCCCAAGGTCACCCAGCTGGTTTTGTGAGTCAGGTGGGTCTAGAACTCACCATCTCTCAGTTTCCAGCCTGGTGCCTTCACCACAACAACCAGCTGGCTCTTGTAGTGATCTAAGACTAATAAACTGACTGACTGGTGGGTGACCTTGTCAAAGGGAGCATGCAGGCTTTTACGTAATGAGGCTCTGGGTGATTTCTCAACTTAACGTTGGAGTAACCTAAAAAATGTTTTACTCGGCAAGGTTTTTCAGAAGCAGTTTGCCCTTGCCTCCTTCCTAGGGCTGAGAGAGAGTGGCCGGCCCAAGGTCACCCAGCTGGTTTTGTGTGTCAGGTGGGTCTAGAACTCACCATCTCCCAGTTCCTAGCCTGGTGCCTTCACCACTACACCCAACTGGCTCTCAGGTCCAAGG